ACGTGAACATATATATAGGAAGTTGGAAAGCTGAGGCATGAGCTGACACATACATTAATTTCGATTTCTTGTAAATGGAAGATGAGAAGAAAAACCAAGGTGTCTTTTCGCATTGTTTTATGGAATTCGATTTATACCACAATTTGAATTTGTTGGATTTTCAACGTATTTTTTCGTATGGTTTATGGTATTAAACCGAAATATTGACCACTTTTAGTTTGGTCATTGGTCAAATTTATTTGGTGTGTGCTTTGGGTTAATTAATTTTATGCCTAACTCATTTTTAACTGAAATTTGAATTTTGGGTTCTCCATTAAGAGATTGCATAGTTTGTTTTGCTAGAAATGGGCTGAATCATTGCCATAATCATAAAATTTTATTATAATTTGTGGACTTGAACTTGAAATTTTCATTTCAAAATAGGTAGGCTTTTAACAAAAAACGCTTTTCTTATGTATCAAAAAAGGGGAGAAAAAGTTATCGAATTCTCTTCTGTAAGAGGGTTTTATTTTTTTGCCTTTTTGTAACTAGCTTTCTATATAAGGTTTGTTTTATTATTTTTTATCAGCGGAAATAGTTTTGAAATTTAGGAAATATAAAAGATTTAAAAAAATATATATATATATTATAAATTAGGGATGACATCGAGGTAAGACAGGATGGAAATTACCTTCCCAGCATGATGCCCCGTTCTTTGACTTTTGAGAAATTAAGGCAAGTATCTCTGTATGAAGGTTCCTATTTCGGAAATTGGATTTTCCATAAGGAAAATTGCTTGCCTTTTGTTTTTCTTTTCCTAGTTTTAAGTCTTGTAATTTAATAATAATTAAATAAATATATAAACGAACTTTGGAGTTCAAATTTATCTTAAATTATTAGAAATTTTAAATTATTAAAAATTTGTAATAGGTAGTTAAAATATTTTTCATATTTATAAATATAGTAACAACTTTTGAGTTTTGTAAATATGTCGAAAGGTTTGAAATTTGATCTTGTTTTTTTTTTTTTTGTTATTTTGATTTTATACTTTTATATTTTAAAATATATAGATGGTATGTTGAATCAAGAATTTGAAAACTTAGTCAAAAAAAGGTTTTCCACGTTACCCAATTCATGGGATGACTTGTTTTGACCCAGAAGAATCTCAATTCATGGGGTAACATGGAATGGGATTAATCTGCTTTGACCATGATTTTCGTAGTTTTATTTTTTGTTTTACCCAAAAAATTTCATGTCAAGAGACGTCCTTCACATATATCTATGATCTTTTTACTTTTCTAATCTATGTGAGAATTTTTTCACGTTATAGAAGCATAAAAATTTGAGAACCCATGTAGAAAATTTATGGATGATTTGGTAAAGGAGAAAGAAAAGAATTTGGTTGTGGGATAACGGAGGAGAAAATTAAGCACAATTCTAAAAAAGAAAAGAAAAAGTCATAAATGCAGAAAAGAGAGAATTTGAAACGCAGGTGGCACGGCATCGGGTTGCGCACCACAGGTGAGTGCAGGGTTCGGCGGCATGACACGCAAAAATGGCGTAATATTATGATTGGCAGCGCCACGTTTCCGAATTCCGAGAGTGGCCGTGACGCGCTTTCTATGCGCTGTGGGGAAAAGTAAATGGGAAAACGTACCGCCGCTCCTCTCTCTTGCCCAAACTATATTCCCACTTTTTACTTTTTCACTTAATATTGTAATTTTCATTTTACAAATAAATTAATTTTCGAATTTAAAATTAAATTATAAATTTAGTCGATAATACTTAGTTACGTGTATGATGAAGGATGTCCTACCTGTCACAACCACGTAGGATAGGTTGGTATTATAGACATATAGTACAACAATACGTTGTTGGTTTTGTATGACATAGTAACAGACTTTTTTTTTCTAGGGTAGTATAGTGATAGACTTTTTATGTGACATCATCAAGTCTTGTGCCTTATTAGGTCTATTTCGATTACGATCTCGTCTTATCTAGTTGGACTACGTTTGGTCTTACTTGACTATAACCTACATGGACTTGGGGACTTCTCACTTTGTTGTCTTACGTACCTTGGTGGCTTTAGTTAGTCAGATTATGTCTCGTCTAGTTATTTCTGGTGTAATTTAGTTGAAGCATAACTGTTTATAAAAAAAAAGGACGAGGTCAGACTTGGTCAAGGTCGAACACGTAAGTCTTGTTGATTCGAAATGCTACGGAATGACCTACACAAGAAGGCAAACTCTCTGATGCTAAAGTCAGTGAAACAGCTCGAACTCAATAGTAAGTTCGAGGAGAAATTCGATATCTAGTGTGAAAATGGTGCCCTCTATTTATAGGTTGGAGATCCGACAAACCTTTCGACCGACGGTTACTTATATCTATACATGTCAGACTTGACATGTCGGTCCTTGGAGTAGATCCATCTTTCCATGAGAAGAATATATCGAATGATTGGTGAAGTCTCCCACCTCGGAATGTTCGAGGTGGACTTGACTTAGATTATCGCCTACTTAGGTGTATCTTTGTCCTACACGTGGCATAACGATTTTTCTCCTCGAACAATGATCAAATTAAACTAAACTAGCTAATAGCTTATGGTCTCCGTTGGTAGTTGAATGATGACTTTGGTTGTCTCACCTAATTGAACTAGGACCTATCTAATAGCTTTCGTACTCATTTTAAGCCACAACCATGAGTTTCTTGATCTCACTTAATCACTTAATTTTTCAAATACTTAGAACAGTAATTATACTTTATGTTGTTTAACCCATGTGAATTATTTTTAATTTGAAAATCTCACTCATGTCACGTAGAGATTAAATTTGTAATTTAACTAGATTCATACTTTAATTAAGTCAATTTAGGACTGAACAATAACGTGAGAGTGCAATTTTTCAGTTTCCTTTTTCTCATCTCATTCTCCTAGTTAAGTATAGTCTCTATAGGGTTAATCCGAACCTAGTTTAAGTGGACAAAGTACTATTAATACTATCTCAAAAGTCAATAATTTAATCCAACTTACAATTATTGAACTCTAACCTTAGTGGAAAGATTTACCAGTTTGTTTTATATATTAAAAGGAGGGGCAAGCATGGGCAGATTCCTGGAATAAAATGGTTTATAGGTTTAACCGTTAAAGAGGCTGCCATGTGCCCTACTAATTCTAGTTAATTTAACGTGCAAAGCAACCATAGTCATTCCTTATTATGTACACACAAAATAAAACCATAATCTTGCAGTTTCCTTTTGGCAGTTCCACTGAAATGAAAACATTTCAATTAGCCATTTCTCATGTCGGTTTTACATGTGTTGTTTGATTATCTTCACATTCCATGCAACTCTTAATTTATAAGAATATTATTGCCAACAAGTGCATAGCTCAACGGGTTAAGACATAGGTATCCAACTATGAGGATGAAAGTTCGAATTCTCACCCCTACATGTTGTACTAAAAAGAAAATTTATAAGAATATTATTGGAGTATCAAATGCTTAAAATTAGCACCCATTTAAACTTAGTTGGATTAATTAATGCATTATACATTTGTCCTAAATCCCAGGAGTGTGAATCCCTCACTTCATGTATTGTTAAAATGTAAAACTAGAAGAAAAAGCTAGCAAATTTTCATTAGAAATTAGATAGGTATGTTTGGGAATAATACTTTTCAACTAATTGGATGGATTTTTTAAAATAATGTTAAATTAAAAACTTATTTGCAAAATATAATTCTCCTTGAGCTTATCAAAAGAATAGTATTTGAAAAGTTATAGACGGTCCCTTTAAGAGACTGATACATACCAAATTTAGAAGATGAGACTATAGCCACTCCACTAAATTGACAATATTATTTAAATTTGGTACATACATGCAAAAAAAAAAAAATAATAATAATAAATAAGTAGAGCTTGAAAACAGTGAAGTGGCATAAAGACAACTTACCATTTTTTAAAGTATTATTCTTGGAATAAGTTTGGAAAGATGTATATTTTGTAAATAAATTTCTAATTTAGCATTATTAAAAAAATATTCCAACAAACTAGGCCGTAGGAATTTCTTGACTAAGTGATAAATGTAAAGACACAAACGGAATCGTTGAATTGCGGAAAGAAACAAAACCAACCACCTCTATTTTCAAAGCACTTATTTTTTCCCTTTCATCCAGTGGCTATGTTAGAATATAGGTAATAAACACGTAATAATCTATTATTGGGTATTGATAGTTGATCTTGGTATAACTCTAGTTAATTTAGCCAAACCGAGCATAGTTCGACAGTAATTGGCATATGCCTCTAATCAAGAAGTTGTGAGTTTGAATCTCCTCCCCAAAATGTTGTATATTGAATCGTAATGAAAATTTCCATTACATAAAAGAGTGTAATCCCATTACACTCCTACAACCTCATCAATCACATTCCTATTCTGTGGATCCCACATATATATAATTAATGTACCTTTTTTATCATTTTTCTGTCAATCCCATATAATTTTTAATTAGTTTTTTTTATACTTTTATAATTTCTTCTCCATTTATACTTCAATTTTTATTAGCTGATGTGATTTTATTATATGATATGATAGATTAATATTAATTAATATCAATAAATTTTTAAACAGATATTATTACTTTTAAATATTAGAATAATAAAAAGTTAATAATATGTTATATTAAAGTTTGGTGGTTCTAATAAAAAAATATTTTATTAATATGTAATTTTATTTTAATTACTCATTATGTATTAATATTAGATAAATTGTTATAATAAAAAATATTTATTATAAATAATAGAGTAATAAATTAAATTAAAATTTATTATTAGAGTAATTTAAAAAAGATTAACACAATAATATATTTGTAATTAGTTAAAATGGAGAAAGAGGTATATTAATAATTGTTATATATCTGATTTCGATTTCGATTCCAGACAGTTCTAGTAAACAACGTCAAAAGAATTCTAATTACGATTCCATAAAAATTTTTAGTAAACACAACATCAATGAAATAACGTTACGATTTCGATTGATTTCATTACAATTGCGAATAGGTAAACGTGGCGTTAGTCATCTACTCCCCATTTTAATATTGTCCACACAACCGACTCAAATTTAAAAGATGGGGTCATATCCAATTTAATATAAGAATAAAATGGGCCAGACCCACTTGATCAAAGTCAAACAATTAAATAATTGATCGGGCTTATACTGGACTTGGGCCTCAACTTCTTTAATATATGTCTATTCTGCACTCACAACCACAATACCTCTCAAGAAGAAGTTATTGTAGATTTTACAGTTCCAAAAGCTAGCACAAAAATCAGAAAAAAAAAAAGAATCAAATCAATCAAACGATATGGGACGGGACAAAGAGCATCTTTTTACGTAAAGGAACAAAATTGAAAAGTCTTACAATAACTACCAAAAAGAAAAATAATAATAATAACAAAAGAAAATTCTCGCTCTAAAATTATACCACATGTATTTGTGATTTCAAGAGTGACACTTCTGATCCTGAAGATTGCGTGGTATAAGTGGAACAATTGCTACATGAACACTGACTTCTATCCACTGGCGTGCCCGTGGTGCTCGTTGATGTGTACGAGAACTTGCACAAATTCAACGGCGGTGCAAAATACATCGGCACGGGCAACTTTGCGGGTAGTGCGGGTAGTGGAGATTCAGAGTTTAGAACATTAATCACTTGTCTTATAGAAGGCCGCAACTTGAAATCGGGGTGGCAGCACCACAATCCAACCACCATCAAACCCTCCATTTGCTGCTCATCAAATTCCATTTCTAGTCTCTTGTCTGCCGCCTCTAGGACTTGGCCTCTGCCATACAACTCCCAAACCCACTCAACGAGTCTCACCTGGTCAGGCTCTGCTCTAGATTCTACTGGCCGTCGCCCGCATGCGATCTCTAGAGCCACCACTCCAAAACTGTAAACATCTGATTCTTTACTCGCCTTGCCATCTGTCACGCACTCTGGCGCTAGATAGCCCATGGTGCCAGCCAAGATGGTGGTTTGTGAGCCCAACTCATGGTCTACAAACCTCGCAAGGCCAAAATCTCCAAGCTTAGCATTGAAACTCGAGTCCAACATTATATTGCTGGATTTGATATCTCTATGCACCACGCATTGTTCCCCTTCTTCATGAAGATATAGTAACGCAGAAGCCAACCCTAGTGCTATTTTGTATCTGACTGGCCAAGTTAGCATCGTTTTACCTCGGAAGAGGTGTGTATCGAGACTACCATTGGGCATGAACTCATAAACCAAAAGGAACTCTCCCTTTTCATGGCACCAACCGAAGAGTTGAACAAGATTCCTATGTCTCAAACGACTTATAATCTTCACTTCCGATATGTACTCTTTTTTCCCTTGTCTCGATCCTCTTGAAACCCTCTTCACAGCTACTTCGACATTGGATTCTGTTAACAAACCCTTGTAAACACCTCCAAATCCTCCTTCTCCAAGCTTGCCTGTTTCATCAAAGTTCTTAGTCGCTTGAGTCAATTCCCTGTAAGTGAACCTTTTGGGGCCAGTTCCTTTTTCAAACTCATCATCTATAGAATCATCCACATCTTCCATTTCCCTTCTAAATCGCCTCCCCCACCAAACAAACCCCACAAAACCCAACCCACATATCAAAACACCAAGCCCAACGCCAAGCCCAACTGCCAAACCAATATTTCTATTGTTGTCTTTTCCACCATCGATCTCCAAAGTTGAGTTGAAGGACCAAGAAATAATGTTATGTATTTGGAACCATTCCCCTGTGGCAGCGGAGAATCCCACCCTGACCCTTTCGGGCAATTCGTTTCTCAAGTCAACAACATGTGAAAGGCTGAAAGTTCCATTAAAAATCGGATCTTTAACATAAGTTAGAAAAACAGACAAGTTTTTGGTGGAGGAATCGTAAGTGATCCACGCATTTGCCAATCTCCCATCCCTCATGCTACTGTTCCAAACAACATCAGCCACAGATTTAATAGAATTCACGTTGATTCCCAAGTGATTATCACTCGGATCCCAATCGTTTTTCCGACAATCAACCTCAACCGCAACCACTTGATTCTTAGAGACATCAAAAGCGGAACCGGAGCTGAATAATCCAAGAAATCCCCCAGTTGAGTTACTGGGAATTCTTGCATCGAAAGGGGTGATGAAAAATGAGATGCCATCGCCAAAAGAAGTTTCGTTGAGCGTGTTGATTCTGAAGGAGAAGTGGGTGGTGAAGTCTGCGACTTGCCCTGTGGAGGTGTCCCATAGTCGTACTGGCTGCGAATATGACGCTCGACCTGCACTGTCGGTAAGAGGGCCATCGGCCTGGTTCTTTGTCAGTTGAATAACATCATTGTTGATGAAACTATCGCCTTCCAAGAATATGTCGGGATTGTTTTGTTGGAAATTGGAGAAGGTGAAGGAAAAAGAGTGAGCTTTGAAGAGAATCAAAGAGAAGATCAAGAATTGAGCTCCAAGAAGGGAGGGGGTTGAGTTGGAGATGGCCATGATTCAAAGAGAGGATTTTGGAGAAAGTTGGGTTGATAAAAATGGTGAATTTGGGGAAAAATTGTTGTTGGTGTTGTTGAAATATAAAACTTTCGTAACTTTGCCAATTCAAAATTGAAATTGTTGGGCTGAAATCTTCTTGGTCTGCATTCTCATTACATGCTTATTCCACACGTATATGAGATTATATTATTTAATGATGAAAGCAAAATTTCTGGTTTTAAAAGTCTTTGTTTCGGGA